CACTGGAGGAGTACTCCTTAAACAAGACAGTAGACAATTACGATAGGCAGGCTTCGTTCAGTTTTTCATTGTATTACAAACCACTTAAAAAGCTCCTGCTTTGGAAGGACAGAACTTACTAAATGAGGGAGGAAAAGTTTGTTGCAGAGTTCTCGACAAGCTGGAATTAAGATAACTGAATCCTCCTCAGGACAGTCTGTAATGCCGCCCCTCCTCAACCATCAGAATGAAATGCGGCTGAACATGGCCTTCAGATACTTCACAAGCAACAAAAAGGATCAAGGAGGAGTTGCTGCCGTCTGTGCCATTACAGGAGCACTTCCTACAAGCAGTGCTATTGAATTCTCAGTTACTTCATTTGAAAGGATACAGACTGCCCATCCCTGGAAGTCTACACCTGTGTAGAAGGGGCCTGTAAGCTGTAGCCTGCTGTCTGCTGAGCCCCAGCCCAGATGGGGTCCCAGAAAATGTCCATTCAGACCCTGGGGAGGACCCGACTGCCGTATTTCATTATCCCAGCTAAACTGGGATTCAGCTAGATCCACTCAGTTTGCCATCAACGATTAAGGCTGTGGGAAGAAGGGCAGAACCCTAACCACCAAGGCCCAATTTATTTTGTACACAGTAGTGGAGGATATTTCGCCAGGGTCTGGAATACATCTACAGATTGTGTTTATTAGCCATCAGCGGTCTAGAGCATCTGCCGAAGTGCCACCACTTGGAGCCCCTCCTGGATGTCACAGGATCACAGGAGGACTGGAGGAGATGCTGACACAACCCAACACCCATCACCAGCGCTTTGCAGCTGGATCGATGGGTATTGACGGCCAGGACACGGGAAATCTGGCCCTTAATTCTGTTTTAATAACTTGGCAACAGTTCAACAGCCAATGGGTACTTGCATGCCAGGGGGGCTCATTATTTTTTTATCTGTGCTTCTGAAAGCTGGGCTGCTCTGAGACTCTCGTGGAGGTCCCTGCTGTCAGGGATGGAAAATAGATCGGCATGTTTCCAGAGTCCGCAGGTGCTAGCAGGTGAATACAGGCTTTGGTTGCAAATATTTAAATCTAGTAAATCATCGAGTATTAAGAAGGACTTGCAGGATTCAATTTTGATTTTTTAAAAGCAACTTCAAAGTCCCCACATTATGTGGGCCAAAACAGAAGAATGTGACATTTGGGAGATGATGTTACTTAAATCTTTTATAAAATAGATGAGGAAAGAAGTGTCTTTTTGTTTCAGCTTCTGTCCAATTCCTATTATTGAAAGTCAGGAAGCTCAACTTTGGATTAATTTGGAGGTCACAGGTAAAAAACCTGCTCATTCCTTGGTTCTGGCGTGTCTCTTACCCTTTTCCCTCCTGTGAATCACAAACACAGTTATCTCCTTCTGCCGCTAACCAGGTGTTAAACCAAACCCCTCCGGCTCCCTGAACTGTCTTTTTTTTTTTTTTGTGGTTAGCATGCTGGAACTGCCTGCAGTAGAACTGAGTTAGTGGCTTTACATTTGTTAACACAAAATCCAGAGACACTGAAGAAATGGAATTTCTTTTCCTAGGAGCCAGTAATTGAAAGGAGCAAAGGGTCTGTAAGATCTGCATTGTCCCCTCTTGGACCCCACCTGGGGAGTGTGAGGGGGAAACTGCTGTGGTTTCGAATGACTAGGGACTGATGGTCTCCAGAGCTGACCTTAGCAGGCCTTCCTCCTCTGCAAAGTTCACACATGGACTCGTGGCAAGGCGGTGCAGCAGTGGTAGAGGGAGGCTCTTTGTAGGGACATGACCCTCCCTCTGGGTGGAAGCGAGCTCTTCAAGAGTCCTCCTTACTGCTGCTCCACACCAGAGAATCTACTTGCTGCTCAATCTAAACTTTACATCAATTCTTCCCCTAAGCCACACCTTCAGGGCTCACTCGCCAATGATACGGGGAAGGTTTAAATTTTAAAAACTGTGGAATAGTAGAAAGACACATTACCATTATTCCTCCCCAAATGCTCGTTTCATTGTCCTTGTCACTTCTGAAGTAGTTCTGGAAGTCTTCTGTGACATTATGAGGCGTGATAAAAACAAGGTGAGTGCGGCTGCAGCGTCATCTAACAGAAAGGCAGGCTGGTGAGAGCATCAGGGTGTCTGCTCAGCTACCTTATTCTCCAGGCCTGGCCCAGGGCCGCTTCTGGCTCTTCCCGTCAAAATGACCAGGAAAGGTAAACGTCTTTCATCTATTCAAGACCCTGAAGACACTTATGAAAGAGAAATTCTAGAACTGCTTCAGGAAGCGGCAAGAGTAGAAAGGTACACGTGTTGGAAGCAAAGGGAAGGATTTTGAGGGGGGATTAATGGCAATGTGTCTTTTGTTATAATGATTTTTAAAGTCTGAACACACACCGCATGTTTCAGTCACACCTTGTATTTTGCACCAGGAGCATGTGACTTTCCTAACAAGTACTTCACTACTGATGACAGTTACAGGTCTTTACTTGCTGTTTATAGCTATCTCTTTGGTCTTTGGCTTTGCAAGCAAGAAGCTATGCTTCCAGCTTCCTGAGACTGATGAGGACTAGTGGCATTTCAAAAGATAATTGTGAACAGACAAGGCAGGGATGTATTGTTTCCCCTCTCAACTGTAACTTGTATTTTTAATGATAAGCTTTCCCCCTGCTACAGAGAAGAGCAGGATAAAAGCCTCTGATATGCTAATTAGTTTCAATTGTCACATACTAGAATGGCCTTGATACTTAACTGTTCACACAGTGAGGAGAAATAAAAAACACCTGCTTAGTTATTCTAAACTAAAAATGATTATTTTGATCAGACATATTCTAAGGTTTGGTCTGCACCAGCAGGTCCTTATATCAAATCAAAGTGTTTAATTAAGGGATACATTTTTTAACCAATGGTATACACATATTAAGTTGCTCAAAACTATAGGTACTGTGGGAACACGAGGATTTTTCAACGACTCAGCTGTTAACTGGAAATGCTTACTTGAAGAGTTTAATGGATGTTTCACTGGATCATCAAACATCCATTTGAAGATGAGTTTAACAGTAGAGTTTTTGGCCATTTTGGATATGGTTTTTGGTATGGCATTTTTTGGTCAGACTCGAGATTATTATTATTATTATTATTATTGCTAATGTAGACTGAGAACTTTTTCGAAATCTACCTTCTTGTGTCATACATAGGTGTACCATAAGAAGGGGGTATCTTCCCATTCAGTTAGCTTTGGTCAGATTGTTATTTCCTCTTTTTTTTGAGACTGGGTCTCATTATGTAATTTATGCTGTCCTGGAACTCACTATGTAGCCCAGGATAGCCTCAAATTGCAGTGATCCTCCTGCCTAAGCCTTGTTATTTGCTCTAAATGTGGTGTCTCCACCTGGGTAGTTGCTCTCCATAGCACCCACCCCTGGTTTGTGTCAGTGATGGAGAAGAGCTGTTTTCCAGCCAACGAACACTTACGGAACATGCAGGTCACTGATGCCTCTGGAGTTCAGGGCTCATTCCTGGATCAAGCCTTTCCCACCCAATGCAGTTCCGGATCCTTTCTAAGGCCACTTTCACAGTAGATTCTATCCCAATAGCTCTCGCCTAGACTGCTCCTCTGCTTCTCTTTACCTGGAACCTGAGGTTGGCAAACTGCTGGCAAATTCTGGTGTGCCCCTGTAAGCTGGGAATGGCTCTTACCATCTCTGCAGGACAGTAAATATGAGACAGAATTCTTGTGACTCCCAAAGCCTAATTATTACATGCCCTGTAAAGAAGTGCACAGTCCACTTAAATACAGATTGTACCATACTGCTCTCCCTCTTCCATGGCTTTCTCCGACTTAGGACAGGATCCACACTATACCAGGGCCCACAGCTCCTTAATGATGTGGCTGCGGCTGATCTATGCATTACCCACTTCCCAACACCCTGCCGTCACACCGGGCTTCTGGGTGGTGACCTGGACGCATGAGGCCTCGGGACCTCGGAGCCCCACAAGCCCTCTGCCTGAGCCATTTGGCTTCCTGTGCACCACTCTTCCCACGTTCATTCCTCACCCCAATAAGGGTATGAGGACGGCACCTCCCTCACAGCACTGCTGGCTGGGGAGACAGTGTCTGGGGTCCCCGAACATTCCAAGGGTTTACTAGCTGGAGCAGCTCCTGAAGGTAGCACATCCCATGCATTATGTAGTTTGTCTTCCAGATTATGCAACAACTGCGTGTTTATCTTCCCATGTTAGACTGTGTGCCCTGTGATGACAGGGATCAGGGTCCCTGGTGAGCCACTGGATCTCCAGTTCCTGGCACAGTGCCTGGAACACAATGACAAAAACGGAGGGACGGCAGGACCAATCTGCTTGGCCCATATGCTGATTCCCCGCAAAATGGAACCCCCTGTCGCCTTTTGGAAGTTATCTATGGCCGCACGGATACGGGAGCATTGAGGATGGTGTTCAAAGATGCCATCCACTACTGTGAAGCCCCTGGGAGAAATTACTTGCTTTACTTCCCTCAAGTCTTGATAAGGTTTCTGCTTTCTAAAGGTTGAAAGCTGAGGACCTCACAGTGTCCCCCACCCTTCCTAGGCCGTCACGATCTTTATGTTCTGTCCTACACTGGATCTCAATTTGCAGTTTACCTTTTCCTGATTTTTTCAGATTCCTATTGTTTTACTCTACGTACTGTTTCGTCAGATGCTAATCTTTAAAAAAAGGCAACGTTGGTAAATGATTTTAACCTGAGTCTTCATTTCCCTGGCTATACAATGGGGATCCTACACCCTGCCTCCCGAGGACATTGTGAGGGATTAGCAGGACAATGAGAAGCACAGAGGACACCGTCTGACACACAGCAGCTACTGATCAGAACTAGTTACTCTACTTTAAATCAGTCCGCACTCTTAAGGCAGCCAAATGGTATTTAACACAGATCAAGATCCTAAGCGATCTGAAATAAATTCACATTCACATTGCTGACAGATCATAAAAGTCTATATTCACTCGACAACACCATTGTTTATGTGGGCTTCTTTTAAACATTTATTAAAAAAGCAAAATGTATGTTCATCTCAAATATAACAGTTAAAAATGGTAAAGCAATACAAACAACTTGTTACTAGCAGCATCCAGTTGTTAGACTCTCCCACCCTGCCTCACGATGGTCCTGGGTGAGCTCTGTTGGCTCCGGGCTCGCTCCCTCCCTCCCTCCATCTTTGTAGTGCAGGTAAAACCAAATCTTATAAAATTAACAATTTAAGGTTAAATAAGCTTAAATAAGGGTGTTAAATACAAGACACTTCATGAGAGCTTCTGTACAAAGATAAACAAGTCTGGCCTTGTGCACGCGATCCTGCTGGCTCACGGCATACCTGGAGTTCCAGCAAGGAAGCAGATGGAATTCAGCAGAGCAACTATATAAAGGGAACTGGGAGTTGGGGTGACCACTGACGACTCCTGAGCCATTTACAAGGCATATGTATCTCAAAAACAAATCAAAACACTGTGAAGATTCAGGCACCATTTGTTCCTGCAAATAAATAAGTCTCTAAAGAACTGCATTTGATCTAGCATTAAACACATCAGTGCTTCCCCCAGCACAGCTTTTCCAGCTATTCACTGTGCCTCCCTTATTGCTATAATAATGTGGCTGTGGAAATAAAACTACTGTACATCCAAAAAAATAGAGCACCTTTAACATTAAAGTATATGTCTGATTATTTGTTTCCACGTTTATTTTACAATACTAAAGCCCAGCTTCGGTACATTGCTTTAGCACCTCTGCAGGTCACCTGAATCAGCAGGTGACATTTGCGCTCATCCCTGGAGCAGGCTGAGACAGGTGCTGCTCCAGCAGCGTCCTACCAACCAGGTCTACATCTGCTATCACCCAGGAGGGACAGTCCTCTTTCCACCGTGCTGCTCGGTGCCCTCCTGTCCTGCTGGGGTGACGGTATGACAAAGAATGGGACAGCAAAAACATCTACGGTGTGGACAGCACGCGGGAAGATGGTGTGCAACAAGGGAGGGGCAGCAGGTGGTCCTCAGCGGTCCCCAATAGTCCCCGAGGAGGTTCAGAGGGGTGGGGGGCTAGGACTTCTTGTCTACAGTGTTGAAGAACCACTCCGTGAACCTGCGCAGCTGGGCGGCAGCCGTCTGCGACTCCTCCTGCAGCCGCCGGTTGTCCTGCCGCAGATGTTGCACCTCCGCCTGCAGGACAGCCTTGTCCTGCTTCTCCTGCAACGAGCAGAAAGGAAAATGAGTCACTCATTCTCACTGCACTTACGGACTTTCTGAGGGGAACCTGCCTGCTCCAGAGTCCTGCCAAGGACACAGGCAGGTGGACAATCCCACAGCCCCTCAGCTCCTCCCAGGGTGCTCCTCAGGAGCACTGACAGCTGCTCTCCAGGAAGTTATTCACCAGTGCACAATGCTTTGAGCACTTATCCTTGCTTTGTACCTTGAAAGTACCTTGCTTTGAAGATACTTATCCCGTAGCTCTTGCCCCTTTCTAAAGCTGCTTTGGAAGTTTTCTCTCCTGCGTGTCTTTATGAAGTATGATTTAAAAAAAAAAGTGTGGCGAATCCTGCTGCCAAGTGTCACCTGATGGAAAGGCAGGCTCATACAGACATTATGGTGCACTCTCATCACCTTCTTCCCTGGACCTGGACCCACGGAACGTCTAGCTCTTCCTCAAAGTCAAAATACCCATGAAAGGTTTGAACTGATTCAGGACACTGAAACAGCACAACTAAAGCCTCTGAAGGAGGACTTCCAGAACTGCTTCGGAAAGTGGCAAAACAATGGGATGAGTCTGTATGCAGTGAGGGGGAGTAGTTTTGAGAGGGATTAATGGCAACGTGTCTTCTACATAATAAAATTAAAATGTGTAAAATTAAATGTGTTTTTTTAAAATCACATTTTGTACACCACCCTCACCCAGAAGGGGGAAGATAGGAGTCAGAGGCAGAGTGAAACCCCTGGCCCTGTGTGGCCTTTTCCAGAGTTCTCATCAGCATGTGGAACTGGAGGTAACTGAGCTGCCAGTGCGGTTACCATGGGACCAGCACTCAGTCCTTTCTCCATGGGCTTGATCTGCACTGCACTTCCATGGTGCAAAACTATTCAGAGTACCCGAGATCCTCAGAACAATCCCACATACAGTTCCCAACATGTAGCAGTGACACCTGGCTCTCTGCCTCTGCTCTGGCATCCTTCCTCCCATGCTCCAGTCCTGGCCCTCCCCAGGGGATGTCTGGGCAGCTCAGTCCCCGAACTTTGGCTGGAAGGTTGGGTGGCAGCCAGATGACTGCTCCTTGCTGAGATACAGATGCTCTGAGAACCTCTCTCAGGTAGTGAGATCCACCATCTTCCTCATGCCTGCATGCTTGCTGCCCAGTTCCTCTAAACCTTAACAGAAGACTCAAGAGCCTGCCTTGTCCTTCTATGCTGCAGATCTGGAATCCACTCAGTGTTGTACTGATTGATGCTCCAGCCCTCTCGACCCCCGTCCACCGTGGCAAACCTCACAACTCACACCTCAGATGCTGGAGCTCTTCCTAACACGACTTCAAGCCCCCGCCTCCTGACACACTGCCACCTCCTGTCTCTAAAAGATCATTTCCAATGTCATCTAACCCACTAGTCCTACTATTCTCTTCCACATCTGTTCCCTGCAGCAATATTATTTCTCCTTAACCACCTCTGAGTTCCTCAGTTTAACCCTACTTGCACATAGCCGATCTTCTCTCTTTCTGTCTTGGTTTCCTTTCTAAACCCTAATAATGGATGAACTCAGATCTCCTACTATTGCACACCCGCAGCTGGAACTAAGGTGACCAGCCACTCCAACTTGCCTGGGTCTGTGCTGGTTCCATTTCTTGGAAGCCCCAAATCTTGAAGGACTTTTTCATCCTAGTCACATGGGGACAGTTAGTCACCCGAGGTAGAGAACAGCACAGCATCCAGAAGATACTAGTTTAACTCAGACTATAATTCGAATTTGCCTTTAGCCTTGCTGGGCAATTCTATCAAATATACCTAACCATCTGCTCCTGACCTGAATCTCATCCTCACACCTGGCAGACTCTTTCCCCACTGTTCATGGTCAGCTTGTGACTGGAAAGAAAAAAACAAAAAGCCACAAGAAGAGATCTTTACCAATCTACCCTTCAGAAAACAGTAGGACTGTTTACTGTGAGTGTGAATGTACAAGTGCCTATGTGCGCACGCACATACTATACTTTAACTATAGAAACCACCCAGACACCCAGCCAAGGCGTTGCCCTCTTGGTGCTCTCAGTCAGGACCTAACTCCCTCACTATTCTCTTCACACTTGATTAGCTCCATCAATAGGACACCAGCTGTAATCTCTCTTCTTGCAAAAACACATCATGCTGCCAAATAGCAGTCTCCCAAGATAATTTCTATTTACTTTCCTGGGATGGCAAAGGGGCCAGTGACATGGCATACCATGCAGCGAGGGCCCACTGGGGGCAGTGGGAAGAGAATCTTACTCCCTGTGAGGACTGGTGGAGCATGGATACATCCTAGAGCAGTTCTAGGGTGAAGGCCAACTTAGCAAGTGGAGGGTATTGACTGGGACAGACCAGGATTTTCGGCAGAAGTTCAGTCTTCTGAGGCCAGCTCACCAAATGGCTGGGGCAACTGTCAACTTGGGGAACTGAACAATGCAAGCCTGTTGTCCCCGGCCTCACCCTGAGTCCTGCCCACACAGAGCTATGGCCATCAGAACCCCGTAACCCAAGATGAGAGATACCAGCTAGAGGTCAGAAGAGAGGTTAGACAGCAGGATTTTTCTTTCTATTCATTTTTTGGTTTTTGCTTAGGTCAGTTATCATCCCCGAGTCTCCTCGATTTGTAACAGTTAAAAGGGACTGATCATGCTTGAGAAAGGGTTCTGTCTTTACCTTTCGAAGGTCGGTCTGCAGTTGTCGGAGGATCAGCTCCAGCTGGTTCACTTTCCCAGTCAGTGTGGATGGAGAGCGCTCCCTAACAAACAAGGTGGAATCAGACTTGCACAGCTCAGTACTAAGGAGAACATGCAAGTGCATGATCACTCAATTCGCAGACAATCTGGAAGTGGGAAGGAATGGCACTCATGGGGACACACACGCCACGGTGTGGGAAGTCAGTCAAGGACCAGGTTCTAGGAAACCATGGCCAAGGCAGATGAGCACGGCATGGCCGCCTGGGGAAGGCGAAGGCAGGGGTGCTGCTGACAGTGCTACCACACTCATCTGGCACACACCCTGCTCTGTGTCACTGTGCCATGGAATCTCCTGCCTTGGCAGACGGCAGTGGAGTGGTTATACAACTCAGTGCTACCTCTCCAGTAGGGCAGGATGCTGAGTCAGCCCCACACAGTTCATTCTCTGATTCCGCAGGATTGGGGGAAGCTACAGTGGAATACAGTCTCCTGCCTGGCCCAGGACTACATGACTCCTTGTCACCTGTTAGCCAAGGACAGTGGGAGGAAGGGGTCCACATCACATACCCAGAAGCATCCATGAACTCTTTGCCACTGCCTGGATCTATACACATGGGCAGCTCCAGGGCCCCTTCCAAGTCCTGCCTGTGCTGCAGATCCGTCAGGGTGCAGAAGGACGCCACCCTCTGGTCTGGGGGACACGGGCATGGAAAAAAGGGTTAGTAACAGCCATGGGGGAATGTTTCTTTGTTGAGTGAAATTCAGTAGCTAAATGAAGTTTCCCCCTCCAAATCAGTTATTCCCTGTTTTAAAACAAAACAAAGAAAAAGAAACTCAGGCAAGCTGCCGACAGTAAGAAAGCATGAAGACTGGCTGTTCTGCAGGGCTGTATGGCACACGCACATCACAGCCTGGTGATTCGCTGGCAGATCTGGATTTGCCAGAGCCAATCTGCTTTCTTCGCACGACTCAAGAAATGCCAAAGCTGCCGGGGGTGGCGCGTGAACAACAGGTTTAATTGTGACGCAGCCAAGTAACAGGACAAGGGAGATGGACCTGTCCACAAGCTCCCCCAAACCCAGAGGGCATTCCTGAGACAGTACAGCCAGGACCCACATCCGCTGAGTACCCCCAGCCCTCAGCGCATGAACCATGCAAGCGTGCAGACATGGAGTGTACAGAACAGGCTATGGTATTGGGCCCAGGGCAGCCCTGGACAATCACCTAGATAGGACGCGTGGTGACAGAGCAGCCCGAGTTCTTCATCTGAGTCAAGACCTGAAATAAGATTTAGATTTTCCTATAAAAGTGAACATTTCTCTGTGCTTGAAGAGCTCAGGGGCCCTCACAGGCTCACATAAGCAATCACATGCAGCAGACCACGCACGCAGGTATACGTGTGTGCTCGTATGTGTGCGAGAGAAGACAGGATTAAGCCTCGAGAGCCAGTGTAATGTGACACCAAACAGCGTGGTGAGACTGTGTTTCCTGCTAGGCAGGGGTGCTGTGCACAACAAAAAACCCTAGCTATGTCACTGCCTACCACACACACACACACACTGTAACCAACCATAAGCATGTACTACAATTCTGGGCTGAGGTGCATGACTCAATACGGATGTTTAAGTAGGGTGGAAGTGAGAGGACTGAGCTGAGCGATCTCCCCACAGGCTCAGAGGATGGTCCGAGGGCCTAGTGACTGGAGCTGTAGCACTATGACTGCCTCAACACAATGCCTTCTCACAGCACAGGCTGTGCCGAGCCTGGCTCCAGGAATGGTGCTTCCCACACGTGAGGAGTGTAAGCCAGTCCAGGAGGAGGACAACAGTCTTCAGGGTGGGAACCTGACTGGTCCTGTTTCAACCTGATCTCTGAGCAGGGGATGGGCCAGCAGGCTGAAGAGCTCACAGGAAGGAGAAGCCTTGTCTCTACACCTTGTGAAAGTGGGTTCAGGAATCCACCCCAGGACCATCTCCTGCCCTGGTGCACACCCTGGTCTCTGGGCTCACACCTGTATGTGGATCCACCCAGAACCATCCAGTCCCTGCCTTGGTCTTTGAGATCACATCTGCATGGACTCTAAGTGGCTTGTGCCAGTACTGCAGCGGCTACTCTCACACGGTTTGATTAATGGGGAGAAACTGCACTCAGGTCCGCGTCAGGTGCTCTGCTGTTAATTCATCCTGCTCTGACTCCCTCTGGTTGCTGGATGAGCCTCTTAATGAGGCTACCTGCTTGTTTGGTTTATGGAGGGTCACGCACTTGCAGCTAATTAGAAAGGATGGTGATGTTGAGGCTGTCAGGTGCACGTGAAGGAAAGCAGGCCTTTGGGCTTCAGCACAGTTGCCCTGATGGAGGCTGGGGCCTCTATGGCAGTCATACTAAACCCACCCAGAAACCCAGCACAGGAGGGTCTCCAGCCCTCTAGCCCTCTTCCTAACACCTGCCATAGGTGAGCACATGCAGCCTTCAAGTCACTTTCTGTTAGGTTCACAAGTGGACTCTACTACAAGATGATAAGTATTCTATACATAGTCCCAAGAGACAACTGCATTGCAATTTGGTGCCGAATGGCAGGGTTTTGCATGTCATGAAACAATTTGTAACTTAATTATGAGCAGCATAGCTCTGGTCTACACAGGAGGCTCGGTAAGGAGTTCTGAGCTGCTGCAGCATCGTAACGACCCCACTCTTCGAGGGCCCCAAGTAAGGCATAATGTCAGACTTAAGAAAAAGAGAGAGAGACAGAGAGAGCGAGAAAGAGAGAGAGAGCCATGTTTTTGTTCCAGAGTGAATTTAAGTGACAATAAAGGAATGTCAAAAAGTGAATAAAGAATTAATTTTTCCCACTTTTTGAATAAATTCTATCGACTCATCCTCATGATCATTTCATTATGTTTCTTTCTTACTATGCTTGGCTGATGCTGATGGTCCAGTCTCCACACCTGGATGGAAACATCTTCCTTTGTTCTATTATCTTTCTATCTGAACTGAAACACTGTCGGTTCGTGTGACACACATCTGCCTTACTATTGGCAGCCGGTTGTTCAGACATTCCTCGGGGAGAAACAAGGTCCTCCTGGTCGGGAGGCCAGAAGCCAGAGCAGAACTGTGCCCCACCACCTGAGGGAAGCTACCTGTCCAAGCAGACATGAAACTGCTTTATGACTAAGCTAATTTTCATGACAGTTTCCAGTGGAAGCTTTTGGTTCTAACTTATTTCTATGATGAAAAGTATTCAGTAATCAAGTGACAATTGACCTGGAACCACACTATACAAACAAGACCTTAGAGTATGAATTCCATAGGGTGCCTGCCACAGACCCAGCCCAGGCACCTGATGTGTGTGTGTGCTGCCCACTTGCTCCGGTCCCTCCAATTTCTAGTTCCTTTAAAGCAGGTCTGATCAAAGAGGGACACCAGGCATGGCTTACAGAAGAAACAAACCATCCCTTTAAATAATCTTAAACCTTACTTCAATGTCATTTTCCTAATTTGGAGTGCATTTAACACTAAATAAGAGGAGACAGTCACGAGCTATTCTATACCACTGAGGGCTGGGATGGCAAGACAGCAGGCTATAAACTACTCCCACAAACCCACTGGCTGCCTGCAGCACTGAGCACAATGGGCAAGCCCACGAGGGGGGTGGGGTGGGTGGCCTGATCAGCGGTCAAGGCTGCCCAGGACGAGGGATGGAATAACAGGGCATGTGCCAGGGATCACTGAGCTGGGTACAGGGGCAGCAGGAAGCTAAGTTAGAGTTAACTGACTTCCACAAAACTGTTCTAATACAGCTTTGCTACAACCACAAACTAAAAACAAGCTAGGATTTTATGGCTACATGTAAGGAATTACAGGTTCTTGTTCTGACACCCGTGCTTACTGAGTTGCAGGAAGCTGACTCACCACAAGGAAAGAATAAAAGAAGTCGCACTGAGCTTTAGCACAAAGTACCATGGTTTAGGCCAAGGACAACGACTCTTTTAGAGCTTTCAATGGTAACAAACGGCCCACTGTGACACACGTGCCACCAGTGTGCCACCATTGGCCCGGGCTGTTGGCAGCCACTGCAAATGCAGGAAGATGATGACACAGATGAATGAATACGGCGCTGAATGTTTTGCTTGAGATAAATTACTTCATTGGCCTGAAACAATTTTAATTTACTTTTGAGATAATTTAAGTTGATTTACTATATTAAATTTGACTGCATTTTTCTTTGTGAGTCTCTATTTTCACAAATTATATTACCATTAGAAGCAACCCAGTAAGTCACATTTTGTTTTTGCTCGTATACACATAAGCACATCAAGTATCCATTTTAAAAACTTTATCAACTTCAAGCTGCAACTTTAAAAAAGTCATCACAAAAATTTATGCTCATTATTCTGTTTAAGAAATCAAGGGCATACGGAACATAAAAATATAGGCCATTTTTTGGAAAATATGTTCCTGTGGCCATCTTATTCTCACAGCAGTGCCTGGCATGTGTTAACTGCATGTGTCTTACAGACACTCACATACCAGGCACTCCAGACCCTGCACCCTAACTGCTCTGGGGAGATGTGATGGTCACTGCCTAGGGGAAAGTATGCAGATGTAGTGGAGGATAGGCCGCCTCCTGCTGGGACACAGAATCCACTCTCCAACTGCCGGTGTCATTTTACCTTTTAAGCCTATTTGCTCTTAAACACCATATGCAACAAATGCTCAAGAATATACCAGCTGCCTCTTTCTGGTATGTATTGTGAGAAGTGAGAGCTACTTTAAAAGCCTACTACTTGTTAAAGGGACTCCATTTCCCTCCCCCGCTTCACCGTTTGACCCATAAACAGGGGTCTTTTAGGTGGCTTTGCACCTGTTAACATCCATGAGGGGGAGGGAAGCCCCTGTACACACAGTGCTATGAGCTAGGAGCCAGAGAAGCCCCAAGTAATCTGGACATGTAAGTAAAAAAACCACACTGAACACACACGTAGCCTTCTCAACATAGGGCTTAACCGCGAAGTGCACCACAGAGTGCTGGTTCTTTCCCCTCTGTGATCTCAGGGCTCATGGAGGTGCCCAAAATCAGAAGAGAGGACTGTACTGCATTTAAAATTCAAAGTAGGGTTTCTAGGGAAGGTGTGGGGCTGTTGCACCACTGGAAAGATGGAAAATTTTAGTGAAGCTAGGGACTGCCCACACGTAACTAAGCCTGTGCTAAACACTGCAGTGCACGGTGCTAAATGATCCTGTTGCATTAGACAGATCAGCAATTTTACTTCAGGGGTCTGGTGTGCAAAGGGCACATCTCACCTCACCAGACACAGTCAGTGCAGAATCGAAGTATGAAATGTGACTCAGTCAGCTTTTCCAAACCGACCATCACGGCAGGGGGGAAGCTGGTGGTCTGAGCTGGCAGCATCAGCACCCAAATCACATTCTCTCCTGGACCGATGAGATGTTTCCATTTTCTCAACATCTAGGCTCTGGGGTAGAATTTGGTTATCTATTTTCTTACTTATTTTTAATAATACTGCACGGTGTTTTGCTACTTCGAGCTGCTTTATTCTTTCCAATAATTTCCTATCAGTCAATTCTCAGGGATCAGATTTCTGGTCAGAGGGTAGATCTATTTTTCTGGCCCTGGCTACATACTGTCACAGTGCTTGAACAAAAAAAATGGATCACTTTATAATCTCTATAACAACACCAGCTGTGAGTGTTCTTTATAGCTTCCCAGACTGCTGCATCATTTGTCCTATTCAAAAGGTGCGAGGTGGAATCTCATTATCATTTAAATTTACACGTATGGCTGGACCTTGTTCCATGCTTATTTACTGCACTCTTTCCTTTTGTGGAAAGCATCCATATACCTCATTTGCTTGCTGTGCAGTTGGTCAATCCCTTTCCTATTTAACCCTTAAATATATGCAATTTTCTGCTTGTAATCTTCATTCTTCCTCAAAAGGACTTATACTCTATTTAAATCATTAATTAAGCAGTTTTAATTATTACTGATTTATAATAGTTTTTTGTTGAACACTGTTCATCTATTTACCAAATGGGTGCAATTAAGTTCTTTAACGTATCTTAGATAGCCGAATTGAAATTGTACTAATCTACAAATTAATCTTTTAAAAAAGATGATCATTTTTTTCTACAAAGCTTTCTATCCATTTTTGTCCTTACTTATATGAAGTCTTTTCAGTTCCTGAAGTATTGCTTGTATTTCTCTCATTATAATTCTAATGATGGCTTCCATCTCAGAGAACACACGGTTCTATCTCTCTGATTTATGGGTATCCTTCCTGGCTGTTATGGGGAAGACTGCTGCTCCCTGGAGAGGTGGAGCCTGGCCCTGCCCCTGGCACCTGGTTGGCCCTGAGGATTGCATGGGTCCAAAGAACGAGGCAGGCATAGGGTCCTGGGCTTCCCAGGCCAGCAATGTGGCCTTTGCTCCCGACTTCCTCTGCTGCACATGCAATGCAATTATCCTACTGGGGAAGGGGTCTAGCCATGTCCTTCATCAGTTATAGTGGCCAGAGACCCCTGAAACAGAACCCTCCACTGTGAAATACCCTGAAAAACACAGCAGGAAAAGACAGAAAGTCCTACAAGTCATGATGCCAGATCCTGATTTGTACCCTAAAGCAGGCGAGGCACCAAGGAGCAGATTGAAGCAACTGTCTTCCTATGTCTACATGGTCTTTAGTCACCTGGGTGGGTGCTGGCAAAAAGTGTTCTATAGATGCAAACAGTCACTGTATTGACTGTGATAAGAAACAGCATGGTAGCAACGGTAACCCTGGGATGGCGAGACCTGCATGGGACAAGCAGAACCTGGCAGAGTCTGCACTGGCACTGAGTCTCCCAACTGCTCATCTTGTGAATTTGGCAGCTTCAACCTCCAAAGGCCCCTCTCCTCTCACTGAACCTCATGTAGAAGAAAGACAGTGCTCTGTATAACGACCACTACCTGCCAGAAGGGAGCAGAGGCAGAGAGGAGGCATGGCTGGTCAGGGCGCAATTGGTACCTGCCTAGAATTCAGGTATCAGTAGAGACTAAATGACATGGGTCTCCCGTGGGTGCTTCCCAGAGTCCAGGAATCCCCTTGTGTTCATCCTCAAGGATGAGGGAAGCAGCCAACCCACCTAACAGAGCAAACCCCCAAGGCACTTCACAGGCCTGCAGACAGCGCTCCTGGAGAAGGAGGGCTGGAGAGTCGTTACCTTCAAATGCCCGGGCGGCATCCACCAGGTGGGACCAGTCCAGGCCCATGGCCGTGTCTGGGAGGGGCATCAGGCCTGGGTCTGCACACTTGGACTTGTCTGATAAGGACCCATCGGAGAACCAGAACTCATCTAAACAGAAACAAAACAGAGCACCAGTCAGCCACATCAGGGTTATTGCCATCCCTGCACAGAGTCGGTCAGTCACAGCATGGACACTATTGTCCCTGCCAAGTCACAGCTGAACACCACTGTCCCAAGGTCAGTCACAAGGTCAACAGCATCATCACTCCCACACAGTCTCAGCTAGGTACCACTGTCCCCACACTGTGGGCACTGCCCACACCTGCTCAGTCACAGCACAGGGACCACTCGTCTTACAGTCAGCCAGTGAAGAGGCAACACTGTCTCTACTCATAGCCCGTCACAGCGTGGGTACTGCTATCTTCACACAGACTGAGTCAGTCAACCAAAGCACAATGCCACTGTCCATACAGAGTTAGTTAAAGCACAGTTACTGTCATCGCCCAGAGTCAGTCAGTTACTACATGGGCTCCGCTGTTGTCACAGAGAATCAGGTAAACTGGAGCACAGGCACTGCCATCTCCTCCCAAGGCAGCTGAGAAAACTTTTTATAAGACATCTACTACTTCCTAGGACAAAAGGACACAGTTAGCTGCAGTCACCTCACAGTTGTCCCCTTCTGGGAAGACTCTGCTGAACACTGAGTCAGACTGACTGAGGTAAACTGCAATTCCTTCAGGTGACTCTAAGGACAGCACTGCGGGGTCTGCACTGCTGCAGAAAGGTTGCAGCAATCTCTCCCTTTCCTGATGATTCAAAAGCTTTAGTGAAGAACAAAAGTGTCACAAATTCCAAACGCCTCGAATGCCAATTTATTACAAAAATGCAGTGAGATTAGCTTCATTTTTAATAATGAAAGGAAAAAAGGCATTATTTTATAGACTGCATACACAAACGGTGGTTGGGCTACTTTTTCTGACTGAACAGGATGTCACCTCAGCGTTTCATACACTACTGGATGGTTCCCTTGACAGTGAACGTAAGTCTCTCTCTAAACTCCCATCACGGTCTTTCAAGTGTTCCCATCATTAATAACTCCTGTTGTAAAGCACTCACTCTGCACCTCGGGTAAGTTCTGAAAGGACCTTGGATGTCTTCATCGCGCCTTCTCTGAGCCTGCCCCAAGTATTGGAGGCATCAGACTAATGAGATCAATCAAAACTGTGACCTGCTGGCTGCCTGAGCCTGAAACTAAGCTAAGTCAAGGACATAATTCACCAAATGCACCTGTAATTTTCATTCCTACATTCTTCTGGGAAGCTGTGGAATTCTGGCATCTTGACTGAGACACACAACATTTGTAAATTGGGCCTTGAAGGACACCAACAGTATTCTCACACTCTTGACAAATGCAGCCTCAGTGGACCTGTCCCCAAGGCAGTGAAACCAATCTAACAGGGCTATTTTTAACCTGTGTTTAGATGCAGTGACGTTCTGCCAGTGTATTCCCGGTCTCCATTTTGAGGAGGCCCAGGAGGGGAATACTTTGTCAATCTCTCCACCTTTGAAATAACACGGGGTCAACTTTTTCTAACACGGGGTCAACTTTTTCCTACAAGGGATATGCTAGGTCCTTGCCAAAGGTAAAGGAGGAGTTGGGTGGCACAGACCTCAGCATCTGTGGGTCTCTCCTTCTTTAAGGACTTCTCTGGACAGGAGGGAGGTCCAGGCCAGCCCATAGCCATGCTGAGGAGAGACTGGGTGGACTAGCTCTCAGACTCCTTCTTTAACCACAGGTTTAAGGTCCACTCTCAGTGAGGTACAGAAGCCGAGACCTTCAGGGGAAAACCACCTCCTTTTGTCTCTCTGGTATACTATTCATTGCTTTGCTCAAAGCAATATTTCTTCACCAAGCACAAATTCTGCAGCTAGGAGAAAATTACTCTTGCTGCCAACTTCCATGGGCTACCACTCATGCCTTGTGATGTCACAGCACAGTACCTGTGCCATTTTCAGGGTGTGTGGTTCTACAGAGAAACTGGTTCTTTCTAATCCAGCTCCCCCAAATCCGGAGTTTCCTCAGAAGCACACAATGGCTCTTCTGGCCAATTCATAGAAGAAAATACCTATTTGGCTGGATCATACGCTGGCTTGAGCCTGAGGCCATCTAGGTAAATGGGGACCCAGTCTGAGGGTATGTTTGGGGCTCTCCCACAGGGAGATACCAGGTAAAAATTATGCTGCTCAGAGCCTTCCTGACTAGAAACCTGGGCCAGTGCCACCTGTACGACTTTGTTCTTGTGTCAAGTAAGGTGACACACTCCAGTGAGCAGCAAATAAGAACTAACGTCGCTTTATACCTGGAAAACTTCCTGGAGCTTGAGGTGGGGTGGGGGATCAGAGAGCAGGTGGAGTAAGAGGACACTTCCCCAAAGCATCTCTGAGCTACACAGGGGCAGATATCCGTCTGCTTAGCCTGGAGAGGACAACACTGCATCTTTGCCCCCTCACTGCCACATTTGGGCCTCTGAGGAGGCTCAGGGTCCCTGAAGATAGCTGGCATTTGGGGCTTGCTATGTGGTAACCTGCTCTGCAGCCCTGATCCTGTGGCTCATTGTCTACCCTAACGCTGAAATAACAGCCACCATCTTTATTGAATCTGACTTTACTGAGAAGCCTTCCTGACAGCATTTTTGGTGGTCAGATAAGCAGAAGTTTCACAGTTACTCTCCAGAAGCCAGCAGACAGCTGTTACAGGCAAGATCAACAGCATGAAGACTGAGATGGAGGTTCCTTGTCAAACACTACCTGCACAGTTATTTGAAACTGTGCCATGCTAAAAGGCTTGACAGGACCAACCTCCACTCTTGAGTTTTCATGTGAAGTGATGCTTACATCTCCGAGAAACTAAGAGCAGCAAACGCTTCTCACTGCCTGCTGCTCAGCATCTCAGAATGCTGACCTACTCTCAAGGGCTCTGCTTTCATACAGAGGATGGTGGGGTGACTCAAAACCATGCAGCAGACAGAAAAGCAAGTCACAAGGGTGCTGTGCCTGTTAGGGGATGGGGTCCAGGAACCAATGTCTCTATGTGGCCAGAAGTTTGAAGGGGAACAAATATCAATAAAAGTTACTCAAAGCTCCTTATTTACATTTAGTTAGTGTTCACATCAAAGCTACGACATTTTCCAAGTAGTTTCTAAAGGATGTGGCCTGGAGGAGACACTGCTAAACAGGAAGGTTGTCAGAGAGCAAAAAATAGCCAAGCTCCTAACTGCTGCTGTACAAGAAACATGAAGTCAAGACAGGTAAGGCAAATTAACTAGGAAAGCGAATGTGTCTTATCTTTTTCCTAAATGCCTCTTTTATACTTTGAACAAGCTAAAAAGGAAAGACCTTCAGTACATAACAAACTATGGTATCTCCAGACAATGGAATATTACTCAGCATTAAAAGGAAATGAGCTACCAAACCATGAAGACACAGAGGAACCTTAAATGCTTACTGCTAGTGAAAGAGGCCATGTGTAAAGCGCTATGTTCTGATTATATAACATTACTGAAAAAGCAAAACTGTAGGGATAGTACTAAGATCAGCGAGTGCTAAAGTCTGGGGTGGGGGGACGACATGAGGGATCCAGAGGGGTTTCTGGGCAGCAACCCTATGCTGCGTGATTCCGTAGTGCTGGAGACAAGTCCTTGCTCATTTGCCCAAACCCGTGGAACGCACTACACCCAGAACAAAGCCTACTGTGTGCTTTGGCTGATGGTGATGTCGATGCAGGCCCAGGTATCACCGGTGAGAGCTGTGGACAATGGGAAGCCTCTGGCTGTGGGGTGGGAGGGAGGACTGTGAACACGGCACATGGCGGTACTTCCGGATCAGCTTTGCTGTGGACCTAAAACTGCTCTAAAAAGTACTGTTTATCTTTTAAAAAGTAAAGCTAAGAAAAAAACAGTATCTTTCACAGGAGGCAGAGTGGGATTAAGAGCGCACGGAGAGGTTCACCACGTGGCGCCCACTCCACAGTAAGTGCTGCAAATGAGCAACAACATGGGCATGGGACAGAAAGCCAGTGGTTTTGAAAACGCTTCCAAGAGGAACCTGCTGAAGTCTCCTGTTTACAGAAGGAGACGGTCCCTGGAGAAGTGTGGGGGAATTAGAATGTAGCTGTCTGACCATGCTGTGTTGTGTTTTAAAGGTGTCTTCAGTTTAGGTGAATGGACCCTGTGTAACAGGCAGGGTATTAGGTTACTTACAGAAACAGGAGAGGAGCTGCACCAGACAAGTGTCATTTCCAATCATGTTAAACATTAGTAGAACTTTTATTTCATTCAGCCTTCGACCTCTACATACATTATGGAAGTTAAAGTTCACTCTAATGATGTCCATGGTGAAATTTAAAAACCTGACAATATAAAATTCTTTAAAAAAAACTCCTATCCTTTTCTGTAAACTAAAAATTAACTACAAAAAAGAAAATAAATATTTTTTTAAAAAAGGACCCTAAAAACCAACACATTACTGAAAGAACTGACACCATGTAAAAATCACCATTTTTAGAATCTGAAGGAAGATCCACAGACTGACCTATGCCCAGTGCTCTGGTGTCGGAGCATATAAGGGCACAGGTGACATACATTAGGTCATAGAGCAGCTTCACCCGCATTCCCGATACCCACCTGGCACCTTCCCTATCACCAAGGCTGAGCTTTAAAGAGAGCCAGAAGGATAGGAAATTCTAGCTTCCTTCTTTATTGTCTACTGCCCACCAGGAAACCACGTCCTGGGCCTCAGTTTCCCTTTCTAAAGACCAAGCCTTATATACTTTTGTCCTTTAAAATAAAATAGCTGAGATGAAACAGAAGTCCCTGCTTAACTTGGTGAAATGTCTAATGTAGGTTTTTCAACTCCCTTCCAATTGTGTAATCAACCTTCACATAATGTCCATTCTGGGGCTTTTATATTTGAAAACTACTTCTAGAAAAAGAAAACACACGGCTACATGATACCGATGTTTAAAACACAAACCAACCCCACACAGCACTGGGGACACTACCAGAAGAGCCTGTCAGCTCGCCGGAGCTGCGGGACATGGCCCTCACTTACTTCGCAGGCTGCCCATGCTGGGGGCAGGGTGGGTCCTCGGAGGCAGCGTGCTGTGGTAGGGTGGGGTGGTGCTGAACAGGATGTCGTTGGGCAGCGCTTGGTCAAGGATGGAGCTGCGGGAGCTGCCGTAGGAGGAGCCCCTTCGGGTGCTGCACACGCTCTCATCAGAGAGGGTGCGGTAGAGTGACCTCCTCGGAGACAGGTTCCCGTAGAAAGAAAACTAGAGTTAAACAAGATGGGGTGGGGGAGACGTTAAAAACCTGAAGGCACGGAGGACACCTCATTTAAGCTACGGGGACAGCGTCTCAAGAGTGTCTGTGGGAGAGCTGAGCCAGGTGCCTTGGCCGGCACGGCAAATACATCATTTCTCCAGCACACACACGTATTGGATTTTAATGTGCTCCTCCTCTTTTGACATTCTGTGAAATATTATCATGAATTAGATGTGCACAGCTTTATTAATTCTGAAATGTTAAATGGAACTTCCATAACCTTATAGAGGTGTGCGCTCCTGGAAATATATAAAGTTGCCATTTCATGCAATACTTATTCAAAATCCCACAGTGCTAGCTTGATTTTAATTGAAAAGGACTACATTTTAATATCAGGCAATTTCTGTATGAATCAACTACATGTGCAGTCTAACCTAATCTAAATAACAAAAGTAATTTTTGAATACTTAAGCTTTCTAAGTAACATGAACATACTCAGGAAAAATGATTTTAGTCCAGTAAAAAGCAACTGTCCATTTAAAAGTATTACTTACAAATGTCTGCACTACAATTGCTAGAAACTGAGTTACAGTAATGGGTTATAACCAGATTAAAGAAACCCTTAAAATCACTGTGTGTTAAATCTTGGATAGAGTAAGGAAAATCCTGACTAGAGAAATAAGCAAATAAGAAAAGTTAAATCAAATCTAAAATCCCAGCTACTTCCTTTACATACCGGGATACATTCCTTTCACACAAACAATAGTAAAAGCCGGAATGTTCACATCAGACAAATATAGAAATGCCTATTTACATTTGCAAATGTGGCAAGAATGCTAAAAATACTCCCATTGTATGGGTCGCTTCCACTCTGCCAAGCTATTCCAGCCAGGGAACAGCAATTGCAATGTGTGTGCACCAGAGTTACATCTGTTCTAGGAAAAGGAGGTGATTTGTCTTAGAAGAACAACATGTCAAGAAGTTGTTCCTACTAAAAGGAAAGCTATTTGCACTCTTCACATCGGTCTGCCTTGCACCCAGGCTTATACAGCATCCCATCCATGGTTTGGTACAAGTTACAAAAAGAACTCAATGTGGTATAGTCTTAGGGGAGCCCTTCACGCTCACCAGCATGCTGCTCAGAGCGTGACTGTGGGCGTGCTGATGCAAGTGTGTGCAGGCAGCGCCTGGAGAGGCTGCTCTAGGAACACAGTGTGGCCAATGGTGCACTGTTTTGTACAGGGGACACAGGAGCACAGACTTCCTGTCCATACCATCCAGACAGCATTTCCTTCCCACCTGAGCGAGAGGAGAGCTGTGCTCCATGTGAGAGGATTCACTCCTGACTCCCACACCAGATGCTTATGTGGCTTCCTATTTCACCATCTGAAATGCTTGCAAGAAAGGGTGACTGGGCTAAATTACTTAAGCTCCTTCTACTACTTTGCTTTATTTTTAAAAATGTCTTAAGAAACTACAATAATAAAGAAGCTACAACTAACCTCCCTTAGCAATAAGCAGCACCACCTAGCAATTGCTGTGCTGTGATGAGGGCATGCTGCTGAGCACTAGTGGGCTATGAGGAAATTCTGCCTTCCCAGGGCCTCCACATTGGCCAAGTCCTCTGTGTGAGGCCAAGCAGACAGGCCCAGGATGGACCCTGGGCCATTCAGGAATGGGAGAGGTCTGAGGATGGCCCATGTGGGCCAAAGGCTAGAGCTCTGGAACAAAGATCATGTGGTGTAAATTCCAATGGCCGCTCCATCCGGTCACTGTGCCAGGCTCACAACATGTCACGTCCTGTTGCCCCCCAACTCTGGAACCCAGTGACTATTATCACCTATGAGACAGGGACACTGAGGCCATCTCAGTCATGTAGCTAACCATACTGGTGCTAGGATCTGAGGGAGGTGGGGCTGCCTGGCTTTCAGCTCTACCTGAGACAGGATGCTGCCTCCTCAGGCTTGGTCAAGGCAACCCCAGAAATGGCCAAACTTACACTGAGCTGCTGGAGTACCAGGGGGACCCCTGAGTTGCTTTAGACTTGCTTACTTTAGTGTTCCTGGTAACTAACCTTTCTTCTCCCTTCCTCCACTAAGGGGCTGTCAGGAAGCATCAACTTCAGAAAATCTTCTTTGGACAAGACATGCTGAGTTTCTGAACCGGCATCTCCGACGGCGGTCTGACACTGAGCTGCTGTGGCCAGGACGTCCATCTCACTGTACATCCTGGTGGGACAAATCCAAATGGAAACTCAGGGGCGGTGGCCTGTGTGTGGGCAGCAGCACTAAGAATAAAAATCCACACCCAGTTTCACCGGCACACAAGGAGGTACACAGTCCTTAACCATTCGGTCAGCTCACTGTGGCTGTATGGGCGCCTGTCCCGACACCATCTCACATCTGTGAGAGGAGCTCGGCAGCTGAGTTAGGCTCCTGAATAACACAGAAACAAACTGAATCCTCAAAGCCCAGAAGAGAAAAAAAATATACCAACCCTTAAAACAAGTTCACATTTCCCCTTTCTGAAACTGTGCCAGAAAACACAGTCTCAATAACTCATGAGGGGCAATCATGTCTTTTGAGCAATGCTATGAGCTGGAGACTTGGCTGTCCTCTCCTGAGCCCCAGAGAGACAGCCACACACTGTCAGGATGCAGAGAGAGGGCGCCCAAGTAGCCTGGAGAGTAAGAGTAATCAGTCCAGGCCTGTGCCAAGTGTGTTTTATTATTGGTAATTTCACAAAGCTGTTTGGGTAAGTAAAACAGTTGTCTCCCTTGATTATTAGGATATAAAAATGTATTTAAAGACTGTCAAGCTGAATTACTGTTCCCAGCTCTTTCCTGGGAGAAAGGTAGGAGTCACTGTGAAATGTTCGCTGTGTAAATGCAATCCGAGCATCCAAACACTCCTGACAACGAAAGGCAACCAGGGGCCAGACTGTCAGCACACGTGCGTGGTCTGTGCCACATAACCTGAAATGTATGCCTTCCGGAGGCACAGCTGTAGAGTGAGCTGTAGAAAATGATCCACATGTCACTGCCACAGGCCCCAAGATGCCCCTGTTTAAAAAGCAAGGCCACCCTGTTGCAGTAGGAAGCTGTCTTAGAATCATCAGAATGAGAAGACTGAAAAGTAAGAGGATTTATCTGGATATCTCCATGGCTTCTGCATGGTTCCTGAGGTGGGACAGGTCAGTCCCTGCTTCTAAGATCTGGAAACACAGGCAACACTGACAGTGTGAGCAGCCAGCGGCTGTTAAGCCAGCTCTCTAAAACATGCAGCTCAGCTTTCCTGTAGAGGTGGCTGCTTTGTGTGGGGCATGGCATCAAGGTGGGGGCCACCAGAAGGACCTGGGACTGTGGAGGGCCTTTACACAAGTCTCCTAGTGAGCCCCTCACCTAAACATGGTGCTCACCATGATGCCCCAAAGGCTTCTGAAGTACTTCACAGAACTTGAAAAGGCTTGGGATGAATTATTGTGAAGCACTGAGAAACCATATTAGAAGGATATATACCTTTCTGTAACATTTGCATTTATAATAAAAGGTGCAACATGCAATTCTTTTTGTTTTGTTTTTTTGTTTTTTGAGACAGGGTCTCACTATGTAGTTGAGACTGATCTGGAACTCACTATGTAGCCCAAGCTGGTTTTGAACTCACAGAGATCCTCCTGCCTCAGCCTCCTGGGTGCTGGCTGGGATTACAGGCGTGTGCCACCATGCCTGGCTACAATTCTTTCTTAAACAGGTCATTTGCATTCATTTTAAATCACATGAATGATACTAGTTCATGGATCAAGTTTGAATTCTCCAGGGCCTCTCCTGGAAAGCCACAGTACATCCCTGCAGCTGGGCAAACCCAGCAAACTCTCCAAGCCTGAGGACACCAATGGTGCACACAGCAAGGCAGTAACCTGGGAGCAACAAGCAAACCACCATCAAAAGAGGGGAACCAGACTGGCTCTGCACTCCTGAACTGTGGCTTCCCTACCTGCCTCTGCACGGAGGTGTCAGCAAGGGTCTCACACTGTCATCCAGATACAAAGCACCCTCCCCACCTGCCCCACAAATCCTCACACCTAACACAGGAGTCAGGCTGTCACTAATGCAGCCTTATCAAGCAGCACACTAACCGTGGAATTAAAACCGCTCTTGACCAGCCAGACGTAGGAACACAGGCCTGCAATTCTAGCACCCTGGGAGGTACGAGGATCCCAAGTTTGAGCCCAAGAAAGGTAACTTAGAAATGGTGGCTTCAGATAAAAAATAAAAATAAAAAGGGGTGAGGATGCAGCTCAGGGAAAGGACCTGGGTTCAATCCCCGGTACTATAAAAAAGTAAGCCACTGTCCCTGACCGTGTATAATGCCAGAACCTATACTTATACCATCAACAGTACATCACCATAACTTTCCTACACAGAAGAGAGACAGCCATTTGAATATAAGAAGAGCAGATTTTTATTTTCCTTTTATGTAAAAAGCAAAAAATATAAATCACACCATTTAAAGAGTTTAAAAAAGACATTTCTACATTATTTTTTAGTAAGTGTAATTCCCTTATGGGAAATACATTTGCTTAGTCTGTCCCGAGGATGGAAGACATTGCCCAGGTCAGCCAGCCACCTTACCGGGTACACTCAGTCACTTCGGGCTCCTCAGGAGGAGGACTGTCTTCTGACTTCTTCCAGCCAATGACATACTTGTTTGTTGCCCCTTGTCTGTGGTAGGACTTGGACCCGGGAACCTGCTGGCTGCTGCTGTGCGACACGATGTAGACTTTGGATGTATCCAGAGATCCACTGCTTTTGGAACAGTGCGCCGAAGGGCTTCCTGAATGGTGAGAGCCACTGAAGAGAGACAAGACAGAAGTGGCAATGTGGTCACGCTCAGCAGCGTGGAGCACGCGGCTGGCTGCGAGGCTGTCCCAGTCCTCCCCTCAGCTTGTCAGACGGCCTCATTCTACAGAGGCTGCGCCTGCTCACATGTGGGTTGGTGGCAACACACATACAGGGGCACTTCGAGAGAGAGGACATCCGAACAGTGGTCAAATGTAAGGAAAGGCGCTCCGCCTTAGCTGTCACCAGGGAGAGGACAATGCACTCTACACAGGACATTAAGAAAGGCAACGAGGGGAGTGCGAGACAGCACCCACCAATCTGGAGTCGGCCAGCCGGGTCTCAGAGCGGTGGGTGGGGTGGAACGTGTGCCGAGCAGCTGGTGTCACCTGTGGAGGTGCACAGATGCAGGGCACGTGACCCAGTGACAATGCACCTGGCTCACGCGCAAGTGGGAGGGTGCAGGTGGTGGGCAGGAGACCGGTCACATCGCCAGGGCTCACAGTGGGTGCCCAGAGTCACAGCAGACTGAACAGGCTGCATTTGTGTGGGCTGCTCACAGCCCCCGGCGTCACCCCTTGCACATTCTTGAAAACATGTAGTACATGATAGTATGGGCTGTATGCTTTCTCCATTTGCTTTATAAAAGATATTTTTCTAATTTAGACTTCATTAAAATGGTCTTTTATCCTACTAGTAAAAATTTTAAAGTTAACTCGGATCAGTAACATGGTAACAAATTTGTTTAGTAGCAGTGACAACATTATCAAAGCTTTCTGTGCAGCTGGTAAACATTCCTGAATGATGGCAATAAACTTTTCCTGAGTCCTTTTCTCTGCATTCTCAGAGTTACACTGCCAGTTTCTCCAATCACTTGTGCTATGGGATGCAGTGACATGAATAATGGTGAACAACAGAAAAGCACACGAGTTCTTTACCGGAGATCCAGAACATGGATTTTCTTTTTCTTTTTTTTTCCTCTGCAGTTGATGTACTGTACTTTCCAATAGCTCAGTTAGACTAACATGAGTACTGCTTTGTATTCTGAGCCTTTACTACGTGCCCTGCCCCCAAAGGAAGAAAAACAAATGTGTTTGGTGGTTGAGCACCAGGAGAAAGCAGGCTAGACACACTTGTTCTGCTACCAGGATGAGTGCTGCCTCTCCGCTTTTCCTCACACATGGAGCTGGTTCTCCTTCCCCTCCCACTAGAGCTCTGGAGTTATATCATACACACAGTTCCATGCACACTTCATTCCTGACGACAGCTGGGAAAAACGCTGTGTTGGGGCGGGAAGTGAGGGCTGGTGACGAAAATCCACAATTAATCAAGAGGGTTCCTCGTAGTGCCAGGGCTCTGGCACTGTGACCTGGGAAGGCCAACCCCACGGTCCTCACTTCCGCTGACACTGTGATCCAGGAGTGCTGACCATGCTTCTCCCACCTCTTCTGAGGCTAGGAACTGGGAGGGCTGACCCCATGTTCCTCTGATCCCCATGCCGCAGGCACCCAGGCATCAGTTTATGAACTTTACCAAAAAGTATGGAGTACACACTCTCGTTCCTTCCGGTACCCAGCAAGCATTCAGATGCCTACCCGATGTGGGGCCCTAACTGCCACATATACAAGTGGGCAAGAGAGGCCATGTCCCCATCTGCATCCGCACACTATACTTGTTGATGGGAAGATACCAATGAGTATCTGGGTGTGTGTGTGGGGGTAAGCAGTAAGCACAGGCTTGGTGCTGGGAGTGGGGTGGGGTTAGAGCGCTAGGCACCGGTGGTGACTTCAGCCAGGTTGACCAGCTACCTTGACCTGAAAGAGATTATTTTGCCTCTTGGGTTATTCCCAGTGATAACCTAGACCCTCAGGCAGTGGGCCTCTGCTCTGAGGTGACCACATATCAGCCTCAAGTGGGTGAAGGGGACATGTCTGCCCTGGCTGGGTCAGGCATTGCAGTCTGCAGAACCTCCACGGGACTGGAAGGATGATTCCTTGTGCTCAGTGAGTAAAGCACACACAGAGAGTAAGGCAGGACTATAAATGTTATCCAGTGCCCCAACCTCCATCTCCTGCAGACAGGAAGTACTAAAAAGATTCCCCTCAAAGACTGAATTCCACCCTGGGCAGAATCCCACACCCCAAACTGAAATGTGGCTTCAAAGTCACCCTCATCATCAACTGACAAGTGTGAGTCAAGGGCAGTCAAGGGGCACAGGGACCCGCATGGGCACCACAATGGGGCATGCACCTGTGTTAAAGTGTTGGGAGGAAGGAGAGTCAGCAAGAAACCCACCCTAGCACTTCCATGAGCTTTCCAATCACCTCCTAACACATTCAATTAGTGAATGCTTAAGGTAGTCAAAAAGTTCTTTCAAATGCCCATAAAATCTCTTCCTCTATTTCCATGCTCTGAAGGCAGTTTCCATTGAACTTTTTCTTATTAGCAATACAAAGCTGTGTCACCAGTTACATTGGTCTAAGAAGACATTATGAAATAGTCGCTTTACACAACTCCCAAGCTTTGAATAAGATGGCAAAGGGTTGCAAAACACCCCAAAATGACCCATTTTTTAACTGTCCATAAAGTGAGAAGAGGAATAATTCAGTAATCAAGTTTACTGATTTAATAGTAAAACTATGCTTTAAGTAGAATTATTAAACAAACTGTTAAATGGGATGAGGGATACTTTGAAAATAATTCCCACATCCTACACTCTTCCTTCTGACTGGACACGAGACAGGAGGACACTGAGGACACTGAGGAGTCCACTGTCTTTGGTCCATTCCCAGAGCTCATTTCTTCTGGCCAGTGGCTATCACTCAACTGCCCGCTTGCTGTGACAGACCCCAGCCCAAGAGAGGCCTCAACTGCCCTAAGCAATGCCTCCACAAACCACAGCAATTAAAAGCCAAGGACACACGAGGAGTCAGGAAAAGCTGGGGGTGGAGTAGGACTTGTCTGTTCTGCAGAAACCAGAAGAGAGCCACTTTCTGCCTGAGGACAGTAGGGCCTAAACACGGGATCTTCAGGTCGCACAGTGGTTTAGCCTTAGGAACACTGAGGTTTTTGAGGGCTGTCACACAGAGCCTTAGGTTGGGGGACCCAATCCCAGGCAATATCACTGGAGCTGCTGGGCCACGTAAAACACTGAATGTTCTGGATATTTTGGTTACATGAACCAAAATTCCACATTAGTTGTGTGGTCAGTTAGTGTGAAGTTTTCTCTGGTAACACACATGTCCCTGAATGACAATCAAGTGTCTCTGAGCAGTGGCCTGGATAGGATGGGATAGGATAGGAAGAAGGTCCTAGGGAGGCCTTTGCAAGCAGGAGCTGAAAGGGTCTGTCCGCTCAGACTGTATAGGCTGCTGGGTGCCGGCCCCTGGAGAAATGCCCACATGGCTGTAGGGCTTGGAGGACTATCTTCCTGTGAGACTGTCCGACTCTGCCCAGCATGAAGAGTTCTGATGAGTCAGACAGGTGCAAAGCCACACAGAAGGACTTGAAGACAAGGAGACTGACAGCTCAAGATTTTGTGAGTAGTAAAATCCTGCCCACAGACAAGCCCAATAAACGTATTTCTTTACCCCAACTTTGGAAGTGAAGGCTGCAATCACAAATTATGAGCTTTAAAACCAATGAGCAAGCTTATGCCAAATGGGAATTTAAAACTACTCAGACAAGTATTAAACATCCATACTTAGAATACAGTTCCTGCACATTTAGCTACTCCATTTAAAAATCCTTAGCTGCCCAGCTGAATACAGGTTCGGCCACATTAAGAGATGTGACCTCAGGAGCAGGGGGCCTGGGGATGCACCCACAGTGTGAAAGAGCCCCAGCGTGATACCCTTGCACCTGCCTCCTCTCTAAATATGTGGGCGTAACACTGCACTGGGAGGTGTCGCTGGCCCAGCTGGGGCAACTCATCTTTCTAATTTTCCCTCAAATTTTCCCTAATCTTTTAAATTTTCCCTCAAATTTAAAAGAAGGGGAAAAATAAAATCATCAACACATGATTCAACACGCACAAACTGACGATTAGATTCTGGAAACGCTTTCTCTGCAGACAGCGGGACAAACACTGACAACTGGCCCCAGGCCTGCCCCTCATTCCTCAGTATGAAGAGCCCAACGCACTGGCAGAGGCAGCTCGGCATAAGCCACTCACCTGGAATGAGAAGAAACCTCGCTGAGGTCGCCCACGCTGCCATCAGCGGCCCCACTGGTGGAGATGGCAGAGGTGTAACTGTGCACAGCGTACATCTTGGCTGGTTCGTCATCGGTCCCCGAGACTTCAGTCCCATCAGCCCACTGTTCGGACCGACTGTGGATGAGGGACCTGCTGCCCACCAGGTGCACGGGGCCAAGGATGGTGGCTGGCATGCAGGGGGCTGTGTCAATGCCACTGTCTGTGGACGCCCCTTTGATGTAGGTCAGCCCCAGCAACTCTGGGTCCATCAGGTCCCCTGACCCAAAGTGCTTGTCATCACTGTTGCTGGAGGTGTTACTGGATAGCGTGTTGCTGCTGGAATGACTGGAGCAGCTCTTGTCTCCAATCTTGAGAGGAAAGAGGAACAGAAGTGCCCCAAGGCGAATCCTGACTCAATGCTGCTTGTTCCAATGCTATAATCAGCAGTCCCACCCAATCCCTCTATTGATTCCTACGTGGACAGTGACAGAGTTCCTTTACTCCAAAACAGCATGCATGCATGTCCCGTCCTCATCACTACGCCTGTAATTTGAGTTAATGGGCACTTTTTTTCTGGGGCCTTTGTTCAGTTGGTGCATGAAACACGAGGGCCACAGCATCATTAAGGAGAAAATAACCAAAAAGGGTTATACAGGATGGAAAGAGACGTGGGAGATTAACCACAAGAGAGGGGCAGCATATATCAGGAAAGTGTTTTGATGACAACAGCAGTGCCAGCTCCTACTTTGGGGCAGGAGTCCCAGGTATGAACACCACTGTGGGACTTGGGGTCAGGCATACACCCTTACTGCACTTATTGCACTGAGCTCACAGGGCTGCTGCGAGGATGAAACAGAGTCACATGCAAGAAGCACTCTGCAGCCACAAAGCACCATGTAAGCAAGAGCAAGCCCTCCTGGGGGCCCCAGCCAAATTCTGTCCCACAGACTAAAGAGATGGGGCTCTCTTCAGAGTGAAGAGATGTGGGAAAAGCTCGGCTTGGATTCTAAAATGACAAAAGCAAACAGAACTCAATAAAGTTCCCTATCTGTTAGTGTGCTTGGACAGACAGCTCTCGCCATAGTCTGGAAAGTCAACAGGTCCTGAACACCAGCCAAGGGCTTTGGGAGCCGAGGATAAGCCACGCCTGACTGGTTTCAAAGTCCCTTAGCCTTTTCTCCTATCATTCTATCCCATCAAATCTGTAAGTAAAAACCTTTCATTTAAGTCATACACTGATGTTCTAAAGCCTATGCCTGGGCCCTGCCTCCCTCTGCCAGAACTCCCCCCCCCATGTGAGAAGTGCAGAGGCGGGTGCGAGTGGACACAGGTAAGGCTAAGGCTGATTCAGGACCAGGCCACGGCTCCAGGAAGAACGCTGCTCAAGTTTGCTAATGACACCTGCAAAGCTCACTGATGATGGGTGAAAGAAATAACAGGAGACGATAGTATTTTCACCTGCACATTTTCAAAAGCAATCCCTTCAAAATGTTGGCTTTCTTTGGCAAGAACCAATGAACAACGCCTTTTTCTTATTTAACTGGACGCTTCCTTTCACGGAGGCACAGTCCTCACAAGGCCTCCTAGCACTTCCGCAAGGGTGGACGAGGCAGCATGTGATGGAGGACGCCCTGTGGGCGGCACCAGCACACAAGTGCATCAGTGGTCACTGCAGATACAGGGCTCCCTGCGGGCGGCTTCTGCCCCACACTGCTCAATGGATGAGTGGTTATTAGCACACCAAATGTGGGGACAGGAATTCCCAAATACCAGCCTGGATGCTGAGGCTCAAAATGCTGAGGTAGAATCCTGGCTCTTCCAGTAATTTGCTGTTTCTTTGAGTTCTTTTATAAATAACAGGAACCCAAACAATTGCCTTTTCTTTTATCGCCCTTTCTCTAAGAGCTCTGAGTGGTAAATGGCATGTCCTCAAGCACTGCAGACTCGTATGTGCCATGCTGTGTGCTGGGATATGCTGTGTACCCTGGGCACTGCCAGAAAGCATGCTGTCCTACTGTGCATCGAGGTACACATGCAGCCCTACTGTGTAACAGTCCTGACAAAGAGGGAAACTGCCATGAACATAAGACTTACGTGAGAAAGCTTATTGGGAGAATCTTTGCAACTTCCATCTTTCTGCAGGGCTCTTTCTTTGTAGGTGTTGAGGACTTTGGAAGGTGGGCCATGCCATTTGGATTCTGTACATAAAGAGAGGAGAGTTGAATTCCCAACTTCTAGTGGAAGCAAAAGAGTAACAAAAAACAGGAATCAGTCAAGTGAATCTAGGATTTTCAGTTCTTGCCAGGGGATATGCCCCAAGAGTGGATGAAACTAGCACAGAGTAAATCTTAATTTCCACAAATACCACAAACACCACCAACCACAGTCAATCACAGCCAATCACGGCTATCCAGAGCCAACCACCGCCATCTATAGCCAATCACTGCCATCCACAGCCCACCACAACCATACCACAGCCATTCTGCAGCCACCCACTGCCGCCCACAGCTACACCACAGTCAATACAGCCACTCCATGGTCACTCAAAGCCACATCATTCTACTCACTACTATAAAAGCCATACCACAAATACCCACAACCATGTCACAAGCACTCACAGCCACACCTTCTCCTTACGGGAAGCCCAGCGGATCACCTCAGCCTGGTGCAGAGGCGCTCCCCAAACACGAGTTGAGAGAGCGAATGGAAGAATGCGTGGCAGCACAGACAGGGCTGTGAGGGAGAGGGTAGCAGGTCAGCACGGCCTCAGGACTCCATGTTACCTGTAACCCTACTTCCTTCCATGGCGTCCTCATGTTCCCTGGCCCCGTCACAATCCAGAGGGCCCGGGCCCTGGTGCTCCAGCAGCAGAGGGGACTGGCACCTAGAAACAAACGAGGAATTAGCCCGTCCATGCTAAGTCACCGCCAGCAGGAGACAGGCATGCTGTTTCCACAGAGGCCGTGCTGAGCGAAGCTGCCTTCTGGTAAATGGAAATGTGGTGTCCTTGGCCTGATCCACCAGAGAAGTGAGAGACCTTCCACAGGGTGGACAGAGGTACCTGGATGACACCTCTCAGGTACAGAAGTGGCCATCCAGGCCCAGACACCATCCCTGCCAACCTAGGAAGGGCTCACTGTCTGGATTTTGTTTTCCTTGTGCCTAATGCACATGGCATTGATACATCTGTTATTACATTTTTTTAAAGAAGAGAAAAAATGATTAACTCTAGATTATATCCAAGTGGGATCAGTTTATAGACACACAAAATAAGAAAGTACAATATTAGAAAAGGGACATAAAAATCAAGGAAAATGTAATCACACGAGAATGTGATTTATTTACAGAATTCAGGTTACAGAAAAAATACAGAAATGCTCTTCAATAGGAAGCAAAGGTACCCCAACACTGACCCCACTTCTCTGTTTCCTCCTCAGCAATTCATATGAGGGTAAAACACCCAACGGGCTCTGTTGTAGAATCCCCAGATCTGTACTTTCATGTTCAGAAAGGCTTTCTTCTAAAAGGAAAAACCAGGCTCAGAACAAAGGCCAGTAAGCTCTGCCTCGAGGGAGACGATGAGCTTCCTAACTGGAACTTGACACTTGGTGAAAGCACATCAGGGATTTTTAAGTTCCCCGGTCTCCTGTGTAAGCAGGTGCACAGCAAATGCTCTGGAACAAGTCCTGACACACACTCCTCCCAAGGAGACAGGAAGGTATAAATGAGCAGTACCCGTCATAGCCCACTTGTGGTCTCCAGGGTCCACTCCCGCCAGGTCCCGGGTCGCTGGAGGAGGACTGGTTGCTGGGAGAACTTCTGAAAGGAGGACACAGTCATCACGAGGGCACCAAGCACTTTGACCTGCCTGCACTATTCTACAAACGAATTCACTTTAACTATGAAAAAGGAGGAAGAAAAATTACTGCGGAGCAAAAAAAAGAGTAAATCACAGATAAATAAACTAAAAATCTGTGATGCCCCAAGGCTTCAGGTGATTTATGGTTGCCAATTTATCTCAAGAAAGAGACATAGCGGGGCAGGCCTTCTTAGTCTAAAGCACAGTGTGATCCTTCCTGTGAAATAAGGAAAACCAGGAACACAATCCCAAACAACACAGAAAGGTGAAGACATCACTAACTCAAGTTTTCCAAAACTGAACCCAAGTCATACATTGGCTCTATACCTAAAACCAATGCAGAAAGCAGGACTGAAATTTTGAAAAACCATTTATTTTGATGCAGTTCTATTTATCTTCGTTTTCCCTCAGACACACAAAGTAAGTGGTATTTCTGAGAACTCGGTGAGATGTGTTTGCTAGCTTCTCTTTGGCTACTGGACCCCTTCCAGTTTTCCCTGTAACTTACTGAGCTCTACTTGTTAAACATAGGAGGTTGTGCAGACTCCTCCCCACAGGTGCTGCTTGGCAGCTGCTCCTCTCACTTTGCAAATTCTTGAAGGTGGGGAGCTCATGACCCCAGCAACCCTTGAGTAAGGAGACCCAGAGCCAAAACAACTTTATATCAAATTAAAGACTTTTTGAGTCCAGTCTGGAAGGATGCATGGAACAGGCAGAGGATACCTACATGCCCAGTCTCATGGATTCTGGTTAATCCTCCCAGAGCTTACTGAGTGCCACCACGGGTTCTAGGCAATCTACCTGTAATGATGGGGACTGACCATTACTCTGTTTATTTGCCAGATGAGGAAACCGGGCAGCCTGCTCCCTGGTGTGTTGTGACAGCTTATCATACCAGGGCCTGACATACTGTACTAAGGAAACTGGTGCACCTCCACAGACAGAAGTATGTGAAAGTGAGACCAAAGGGAGCAACAATTAACAACCATAATTAAGCAATTTCAGTTTTTGGCCCTTAATATGACCTATGCAAACTAGGCACCCCAAGTTCTCACCAGCTTCTAGTGTTACTGGACTCAAGATTAAACAAGTATGTTTTGTTCACTGAAAAATGAATCTGAACATGCATGTAATCCCAGCACTCTGGGAGACTGAAGCAGGAAGACACCCAGGGCTGGGTGCTGTGGCTTGTGTTTGGATGTTCCCCCCAAAGCCTCATGCAGGTGAGGTTGGATTTTCTTTTCAGAGGTGGCTGGGTGTGGAGTATGCAATGCTGGGATTAAGGGACTGTGATTCCTACAGCACTACACTCAGTGACTGGTTTAGCATCACTCTAATTCCACTAGTCTGGATGGGATCAATGGAGCAGAAGGACGCTGTTAAGCTCTCTTACTGCTTTTGCTGTTCCGCAGCCATGAACTGCAGTTGCCCCCCTGCCACCCGGACTTGGAGCCAGCCTATTAGGAACTGAAATCTCCACGAACTATAAAGCCAAAAAACCCTTTCCCCTTTAACTTTGGGTGTCAGCTATTTTGTCTCAGCAGCCAAAGAAAGGTTACTAACACACTGAGCAAGTGAGACTCTCAAAAAAAGGGGCTGAGATGTAGCTCAGTGGGAGGGTCCTGAATTAAACCATAAGTACCAATAAACAAACAAATAGATAACAAAAACCTAGCTGATTAACTTTAATTCTATCTATAATTTCCCCACCATGTAACCAGACACATATTCACGGGTTCCAGAGATTAAGATGTAGATATCTTTGGGGATCACTCTGCCTGCCACACCTAATCAGCTAAGTATGCTTGTATTACTTCTTATTTTAAGAATCTTTGTGTTTTAAACCCAAACTTTGAGAATCAGCCACTTATCAGATAAAAATATAAAACAGGACAGAATGGAAGCAAACTACAGAAGTTAACCAGCCGTGTCAACATTTATATTAAACTCTATTGGAGAAAAAAATAAATCTTAGACCCACTCAATTCACTTTGCTCAGGATGACAGAGAAAAACAAAGTGTTGATATTCCTGGTGCCTCCTAAGGCACCACTTGCACTGAGATGATAAAACTTCACCATTGGTTTTGCTTTATTTGCACCCAAATGTGTGTATGTCTTTCTAAAGGACACACGGAGCTGTGGAGTATATTCCCCACCGTGGTTTGAAGGCCGGCTGACAGGGAGGGCAGGTTCCTGATGAAAGAGCAGCCTGTGGTCTTGGTGAGCAAGACGGTATTTTATCAGCACTCAGCAGGAGCCGTCAAGGGCCGGACTCTGAGTACCATCACAGCTGAGGCCCCCACCCACCACCCTACCTGCCAGGGCTTCGAACAAGCTAATACAGATGTGGCCATACCAAGTACTAAAGCCCTCCTGCCATTCTGGCCCATTCCCAACAGGCAGTGGCATTACCTGGTGCCATCAGGTAGCTTCCGGTCGAATGAGGTGCTGCGGGGAATGGCAGCCTGAGCCTGCTGGAGCAGCTGCTGGCACTGCAGGCGGTCGGGTGTGCCAGGCACAGGTGAGGCTCGAGAGAGGGGCTGCAGGGCAGGGGTGGGCACGCGGTGCCATGCGTTGTTCCTCCTGAAGGGGGTCTTGTACTCACAGGGTGCGCCCTCGCTGTCTAGCTTATATTCCACCAGGGGAACACGGCAGAGCTCTGAGCACCCTCTGTGGGCCCAAGAAGAGATGGTGAGGAGGGGCCTGGCAAGGCTCATCGGGGCTGTGCCCATAGATGTACATGGCACTGTGCACTTTGATGGTATGAAGCCGCCCACCTGAGCAGCATCTCTCGCACAGTAAATACTGCTCCCTATGTGTTCCCGAGTATTTATGTTCTTTTCTGCACCAACCGGAGTTCAGGGATTAAGATAGCTGCCCAGATTCTATCTGGCTGCAAGGGGGCTGAGGCCTCACCAGGCTGGAGAGAAGCTGGATGGCTGCTGGCATGACTGTGCAGTCATCAAAGTGCTCAGCTCCCAACACCCTCTTGGGCACTGTAGGTTAAGTGTTTGAAATACACTTGTGGGGAAAAAAGGTAAGGAGGAGTCAGAGCCCAGAGACGCTGAACTTGCTCAAAGTCACAAAGCAGGACCCTGTTGGACTGGGGGCCACAATCCAGCTTCCAGAGCCAGAAATGGGATGCCTCATGCCAGCGTGAGGCACATATAGACAAGATGTAAATATGAATCTTTCTGGTTTGTGTTGAGGGTCACATGCATGCCCGAGCTCATCCAACTGCATACGCTGCATGCGTACAGTTTACTATTCAGCAATCACACCTCTATCCAACTCTAAGAAAAACCTTATTGGACAGAAGAGAAGAGCTTCCTTCTGCCTTGTTGCTTTGTACTGCAAGGAAGGCTTGGGTTCGCCTCTACATGACAATGGTCAGTCCACCCAGGCACTGGAAGGCCTAGGCCAGGTCAGGTGACCTGAGCACTAGCGCCGGCATGTGGGCTTGGTGGATTCCAAATGGATCCTGTCTTTCTCTAACTGCAGCCCTTCCTTAAAAAATTCCAGCAGATTCATCCTCCCAAAGGCTTCAGTGTTCTTACAGTCCTAGGTCATAGTCCGTAGCCTTTGTGCAGCACAAGCCTCCCCATGATGCCTCTAGGGTCAGCAGCCACACAGTCACCACTGGCAATGAGGCACCGAACTCCAGGGAAATGGGCAAGCAGGACACAGGGACTCTATTTTCTTTTTTCATTAACTTAAATGTGAAAACTCACGCAGACACTTAGAGATGGACGACTCAGATTCCTGGTCAAAGACAAGATCTCAAGATATAAGAAACTCTACAAAGGACTAGGCAGGGAAGCTCTGCTGTTTTCTATAGCAAATTGGAAGGTGCGAAATGTAAGAAAAGCAACACAATTCTAGATGAAAATTCTTTCTTTTCAAAAATTGTGCTGAATCAATAAATCTTGGCGCTTAGGAGTGAGAAAGAGACACACAGAGGGAGAAAGCAAAAATGAGCTGATTTGTGGCTTGCAAAACTGCATGGGTGGTGATGCTGTCCTCTGGGAAGCCAGGAAGGGACGGAAAAGATCACACTGGAGGCCCTTGCCTTGCCTCAGAGGGGACTCTGTATCAGTTAATGCCAATGAATAGCATTTTTCTCTATTTCCTTTTCCAAAAGCAAAATTCACTTCTTTTATCTACTTTATACTTCTCTGGATTTACTGAGTTTTGGTACTTAGGGTTCAGTCAGTGGTCCAGGTTTACATTCAATTGCAATACGTTAGAAAAAAATGCTGGCAAAGCTCTATCATCTCTATGTATGGATGTGTCCTGGTCCTAGGTGTGTTCTCTTCACCTCCCCTGGGACTAATGATTCCTCCAAATGATCGACAATACAACTGGAAATCATAACGGTGGGATATCCTAGTAGGATGAGCTGACTCCTGTCTCTGCCCTCATGAGTGCTCTAAGCAATTACTACACCTGCAGGTGATCCTGGACTCTCTGGTATCTAACACTACCATTGCTTGAGTCCACACTGGTGACCCTGGCTGTCACCAAGATCCTGGAGCTACAATCTGAATGGGAAGAATGTGAACTTTGAATCCTGTGGACCACGAGGCAAACATCACTCCCCGTGCTTGTTTGGGCTTCAAGTTCATTTGTTCCTTCAGAGGAAGACGGAAAGGGAAGACAGGTGGCTGAACAGTGTGGTCTACTTGATTCATGCCCACAGACTGCATTCTTTAATAAGACGCTATAATTCAACTTGTGTCTTGGAGCAAAAACATTATATAAATGCATAATCATGACTAATATTTGTGAGAGTGAAGGCAAAAACCTGTTCACACATTAGATTGAGGAAAAGCTCACAAAAGAATCATTTTGCTTCCTCTTTTAAATATTAAATGTTGGCATTCTTTTGTCCGAGTAACAAAGTAACTTCTCTCAAAGAATGACTGTACTGTAAATTGAAAACATTAATTTCATTAAAACATGACACTTTCATAGCACTAGCCTCATGGACTATTTGTTTTATTCCTCTAAAATGTCAAATACCACTGACTATAATGTAAGTTCCAGATCTAGTCAAACATCGTTTTGCTCTGTATACAGGAGATATTCCCCAAGGAATTTCAGCCAATCTTCAGGAAATGGGCAGAGGTGTAAAAGAATACCGATGAGCTTGTGGAGGTCCTCCTGATGCAGCACCACAGAGGCAGATTTACTTCGCCCTTGCACTTACCCTCTCTCCCTGGATGGCTTTTGCATAGGGCTCTAGACCGACACTCCAGCTTCTCGGAAGCATCCAGTCTGGGCTGATGAGGAGGGGCCCACGGCAAGGGATCTCTGGCCAGAAGGTAAGGCCAGGAGAGACCCTAACAGATTTAAAAAAAAACCTCACACAAAAATACATTTCTGAGAAAACTGAGCTGCTAACCTTGTGTGTAACTGAAATATTTTTCAAGAAAATACCTAAAGTCTTTTGTTTTCCTGCAACAGTATAAAAATTCAGTTCTCACTGACACACAAATGTGGCTTCCTTCTGACATATAAATCTAGTCCAGGGGAGGGATTGCACTGCTAACTTTCAGTGCATTTCTCAGCTTGCTTACCAAGGGACACTAGAAAACGTTCGAGGAGGTGGTGGGGTCACTGCAAGTGAGCATACCTATTTCTTCTTTGCTCCACAAATAAACTCATCATCAACTTAGGCCTCTAATTACCCTACTAGGTAGCAATCAATAGAAACTTAGCTTCAGGGTGAAAAATAAATACAAGCCTTTCTTGTCTAGACAGTAAGTTTTCCGAGTTTATTCTCCCTGGCTTGTATTTTCTGGAAGGCAAACATTCCAGGTTTTGTAGACCACAAAGGTCAAGCATGACACACTAGCCAAAAAAGTAGCACTACAGAGCTCTACACCAGTTAAGGGTTCTGACAATTGGAGCCTTAGAGCATCTTCTATTTTATCGCTGATTAGATACACATGCCCTTCTGAACTCACCACAGTGGGCTTCCTCGGATGGCTTCATCCTGCTCCCAGTATACTCACAAACTGGTTCACATACAGTACCTAGGCTTTCTTCCTAGTTCCCACAGGCACACTTCTTGGTCAACAGCTGCCCACTTCCTGGCTTTGGGAGTGTCCACTCTCACTCAAAGTTATTGAACACCCATATTCACTGCCAAGCACCAACGTTGGAGACACCCAGGAAGGTAATGGGACACTATCATCTACACAGGCCACTTTTTTCCAAGTGCACCTCTTGCGTCCTGGAAAATCCTCCACTCAACACCCACAATTTGACACCCAAAAGCAGTCACTGTGGGCCAGGCTTAGACTCCAGTTTAAAGAGCGGCTCCTACCTCCACAGCCTGCCCACAGTTACCCAGACAGGTCAACAGCTTTCTCTGTTTGTTCCCATCAGACAGGGCCACTCGATACCACTTAAACCATTCTCCACAGAACAGCCTGGGCTTGGGCTGGGAGCCCAGTCCTGCCAAGGGGCAGCTTAGAGACGTGACGACCACTTCAGGCCCTGCACTTGAACACAGAAAGTAGCAGCAGAGGGCAAGTCAAGATTCAATGAAAAAAATACACAAACTCTTGAAGTGTAAGTTTTGTGAGAAAGAAGTTCATTATAAATAGACATTAATTTTTGCTTCTACAAAAAAGGAGGAAATCAATTAACTGCAAAAGTTCAAACTTTCATGCAAGTTCTAGATAATAGACATTTACAGAGTTCTGGAAGCTTCAAGTTCAACTTTAAAATTTAGAAAAAACTTTAGAGTTACAAAATCCCCTTCATCTACATTCACCTATAGAACAATGTATCATTATCCTATTATTTTATTCTTTTCATCTTACATAAAAGTAGGACACGTTGTATTAAGCTACTGAAAAACTAAGAAAAAGGAGAAGTCCTGGGGGAAGGATGAATAGAAAAACAAAATTAAAAACCTAGAGAACTGAGACAGTTCAGGGAAGAATGTACATTCTTACCAAGGGGGGAAAAAAGCCAGGTGAACAAATTAGCTGAACTAGGTAAGCCACCAGCTATACTTAATCACAGAACCGTAACTTGGATTTACTGTCCCAGAAACTGCCAGCTGGCTTCACTTTTTGTGGCTGCATCAAAGAACCTTAAATGAAACTTGATTCTCCAACAGGGTCTCCTGCATGCTGCCAGGTCCTCCTCACTTTCAATGCACCACTCCACTCAGACCTCAGGTTCTACCCACAGCAGCTGCTTCTCACGAACAGTTACACCAGACAAAGGAAATCTCTACTATTCAGAAGAGGGTCAAAGGGGCAGGCAAGAAGATGCAGCCAGTTAGCAAGAGAGACACACTGGAATCCACATCCCCTGACTTTGAGTTCAGTGCTCTTTCCAAAACACATGGCCATTTTAGAAAGCCATCAAAGAACAATTTAGCCCACATTATATCATTTTCCTATTAAGTGCTAAATGAATCTTTGGAAAAAAAGAAGATTCCCTCAAATGCATTACCTGCTTCTTTTATATTATGCACTTTGTAAAAGAACCCTTTCATAGCCCCGGGGACTAAAGCAATCACTGGCATTTTAATTATTTTAATGTCTATTATGCTAATAGCCTCCTAATAGCGAAGAGTCCGAATCATCCAACAAGATGATAAGGGTTAGTGATATTTATTCGCTTTAGTCATAAACTCTTCTTTCTGG